GGTGGTGTCCCTACTGCCTCGTACCTGGTGGTGATAAGAAGCATCAAAATGTCCCAGCAGATGAGTAGGGATGACTTCAGGTTGGTCTGATGAAAAGTGTTCCCAATTCCCCCCAGGCTTTGCTGTTTACCCCTGTGTTCACACCTGGGGTAAGAGGGAGTAAAAGGCCAACAAGCTGCAGAAATTTGCCCGAGATATTGGCTTGTTTTGGCTAATAAATATTGACATTTCTGACCGAGACCTTCTGAAGAAAATAAGATGAATTCTCTTTGTCTTTCTTCTTGGTGTTACTGCTGAAAAGCAAAACAAGTGAGAAAAAAAGATATCTTTGGGTACGTTATGTCGTGATAGGCTTCTAGGACAAATATTTTACGTGTAATTAGGAAATGGGAGTCCAGGGTTCTTCTAGACCTGCGTGGCTTGAGTAAGCCAACTCATTTCAAGGTGGTGTGGTCAGTGCATTGTGCAAGGGGTAGGTCTGTTATTCCCTGTACAGCGGCTGCCGGCACAGCCCGATTTAAATAGCAAAGCAAAATGTTTTCAGATCCTTAGAAAACACTCTGCGGATCCAATGTCCTTTTTATTTTTAGCCCTTGGTTCGTTTTAGCAACCGGGCGGCCAGATGTTAGCTTTATGGAGATGGACAGAAATAAGAGCTTTCTTGCTGCTGGAAATCGAGACGATTCAAATGCTTAAAAAATAACTACAGGAAAACTTTGGTGGCTGAAGCTCTGCTCCCTCAGTTGTGCGTGGTATGGAGTGAGGATTAGACTAATACTTCCCAACTATCTCAGAAATATTCAGCAGTGAAATCAGCCTGAGAGTACCCTAGACTATGGGGTGATTGAGACTATTCTAATAGATAATTTGGTACTTTTTTGTTTAAAACCAAACAGTAAGAAACTGCTGTCCCTTTGAAGAGCATTGAGACCTCCTGAGCCCTAAACCACTGGTGGCTTCATCACCGGGCTGTGCAGCCTCTTAGGTGGACACAACAAAACACATGAGGTGTGTTGCTGGGGTGGCAAACAAATTCCTCATTTTCTGACCCCTGTGGGCTGCTTTTTTTGCTTTTCAGGTGCAAAAGCCCAGTGGAAAAAGTGCTCAGACAATGATAGGGGAAAGCATGTGTTCAGCTGGAACAGTTCTGAAAGGCAGGTACGGGAAGGAAGAGCGTTTCATTTCCATTCCTTCCCATTTTGGGAGACAGAGCATGTCACAACAGTGCTAAGCAGACAAGAGCTGCTTGCCAGCATTTAATTTGTTGAAGATTAAGAAATTATTCCTTTCTTACAATACCGTGTCAGTCTAGAAAATACCTTTGAACTCTGGGGGATGTGAAATTTAGATCTAGCCTCAGATTTCAGAGTGTTTGGAAGCCAAGGCTTGATCAGGGTAAGAACTGTACGGATGGTTTAAGGGGAGTCATATTAATAGTGTACCTAGAGACAAGGGACTGGCTCAACTTTTGGGATAACTGGATCCGGAACAGGACATGGAATTTAGGTTTTTTCCTTTGGGAACTAGAAGCCAGCTTTTTCTGGGTTACTCTATTTGTAAGGAGGGTTGGCTACTAAAGCATTGCCCCTTTTCTGGCCAGCAGCTTTCCCCCCGAAAAATATCTACAGCCTTGAACCCCACCTCTTTCTCTAACTGCTGTCCTTGCTCTATGCTCTCACCCTCCCGTGTCCTCATCAGGCTGAGGGCAGAAAGCTGAGAAGTCTTGTGTACGGCCGGGCTGGACATCAGCAGATGCTTTCATTATTTACGATGGTTTCTAAAAGCACCGTGGCAACTGTTGGTGTCAAACCAGAAGCGAAGGCTGCTCTTACGATCACAAACGATAAACAAATACAAATCTGCTCACGACCTGGAGCTCGGAGTAGCTCCTCAGCAGTTGGGAAGTGCTACTTGCACACCAAGTCCAACAGCGGTTTCCGAAGCGCCGTGAGTAAATCAGTGTCCTGACGTGAGCACCGAAAATAAGCACCTGCTGAGCTTTTCTGAGAGCTCGGCCAGGTCACAGCTGCTGCTGCTGAACACTTTGGAAAATGTACCCCCTCACTCAGGTGCTCAGCACTTGGAAAAGTGGACCTGGACAACTCCAGTGTCATCTGCTTCTCTAATAACAAACCACCGTTCTACCCTACGAAAGTAGTCAAGTTCTCGCTGCTGGAGAGGAAAGGAGGAAAGCAGTTCTTTTATACCTGATCCTACCTGATTATTAGAAAAATAGCCTGAAGAGATTTTCATCTGGCTGATGGAGACATATCTTAATGTCTGGGACCTTTGTAGCTAGCCTCCCCCCAACCCGAGCAGTCCCACAAGCTGCTGCCCATGCCGCATGGGAAAGCAAATATCCCTGGTTGCTCTGATATCAAATACCTTTTGCTGCCCTCCCTTGAAGAGAGTCCCTTGTAAAAATGCTTTTGTCCAGAGGTTTCAGTCGCTTGGAGCCTTGCAGGGGTTTCTGAGCTCGGGTGATTTATTACCCCTTTGTAATCTTGTGGTTTATGGAGAGCCCTGCTGGAAGTATACGGGGGTACAAGGGTAAAAGTATCAATTCACCAGCGATCTGGTGCCAAAAGCCACCCGTGTGCAAGGACAGGAATGGGGTTTCAGGCTCTGGGAATGAAGCTGCAGGGGAGCAAGAGCTGTGTGGTGGGAGGGTTTGACCAGGACCCCCAAACAGCGGGATAAAGGTATAAAATAAGGCTGGATCCCCTTCTTTATGGGGTGTAAGGTAGCACATTGGTTTTGTCTCCTCCTTCAGAGCAGGTTGGGACTGGCATCCTTGGAGTCTCTTCTCTTATAACCTCTGTGAAGGAGAGCAGCAGTGCAGAAGGGCCAAGTCCCAGGACTGCTGCCAGACCCAGACCATCAACACCCCTCATGGCTCACCCAGGAATGTCTCTTATGGAGGAGGTAGCTTCAGGGTTCCTGCACAGGACTCTCACCATGATGGTGCCCTGCAAGAAGGGAAGAGGCACTGATTCTTTTGGGCAAATTTGGCTGAAACAGAAGAAGTCATCTGTTCCGTTGGTGGGTCAGCATTGCTTTTGATATCTCATGGTGGAAGAAACCATCATGGAGGTTATAGACTATGGGAGCAGGATCTGGTTTACCATCTGTGTAGTTGGCTGGTGTCAGTGGGTGCATAAATGTCCATAAGGGCAGAATTAATAGAAAGGACAGCATGCTCTATCCTGATGTAGGATCTCTGAACAGCCAGAGGTTGTAAATCAAGGCAGCGTTTCTGCCAGGTTACTTGGTGATGCTGTAGACCAGCGTGGCCTTCAGCTGAAAAAAATCCACAGGAAGAAAAAAAGCACATAAGACTTCACACAAGCTAAAGGCTGGTTTGATAATTCTGATCTCATCTCTCAAGTACTTCCTTGGTGCTTTAAGTGGAATCATTTAAATTTAATGGAAATATTTTAATTTTTAGTGTTGCGGAGACGTGGGGGAGAAAGCAAGGATTAAGTCCCAGCCTGCCTAAACTCCGGTCTGGAGTCACAGTCTTGCTTAAAACCCAGTTTGTTGGGATTTACAGTGGTTTTGGCAATAGTTTTTCCAGCTTGCTCTGTAAGTGGCTGGATCTTGCACAACTTGAGGTGGTTGTGGAGAGAAGTGACAACCAACAAACTGCACAATTCTTTGGTGTGCTCCATGCACTGCTACTTCCCTGGGACCCGATTTATGCACCCACAGCCCTTTGCTGGGAGGAGGAGGGTGAGGAATATAGGTCATCAGCGGGCCAGGCTGGCAACTCCTTCCTTCCACTGTGGCGAGTTACTCCCTGAAATAGACTCATTAAGGTCTACAGATCATTATTTTCATTAGCGGTGATTCACATTAAGAGTTTCACAATCAGGCCGTGCTGGTGTAATATGTTCCTTTTCCACAGTGCCATTTATCTACACATCTCAGAATACTTTGTGTACGTTAAGCTTTAATCCGTGTTTTACCACCAGTGGAGTGGGTAAGGAGGGCTGTTTCCAGTTTGCAAGTGAAGTAAACTGAGGTACAGAGCAAGAAGGTGACTTGCCCAAGGCTCTGCAGGTGGGTTGCAAGGTTGTCCAGGGTGCTCTCTTGCAACAAGCGTACGTTTCCCATACGTGGTCCCATTTCCCTGCCCAAATTTTAAAGGAACACTTGATTTCCTGAGGCTAAGGCTGAGCAGAAGTCTGTCTATAGCTGTAAATTCAGAAGGTCTGATGTAAATCAAAACTTCCTCTAGTGGTTGGGAATGTTTAGATTTGTCATCCCGGACTGGCCCTGACCTGAAGGCGTTGGAGCGGAACCGTGGGGATGTTTTTTTAGGGCTGGTATCAACTGGTTGGTAGAAGATGTAGAGTTAAGAGTTGGTCAAGAACTCTGCTTCTTATCTATTCATCCCTCTGCTTCTGATCTATTTGTCCTCATCTGCCTGTGTGGTCAAGGGGGTCAGTGTGGACAGTGAAGGATGAAAGTGTGGTTCATCTGACTCAGTTACCTGCTAGAGGATGAGATGAATTGTGACTTTAACTCCATTGTGTGTCACCTGTGAAGGGAGATAAGAGTTCAAGTGAGTCCTGTCCTAGTGCCCGTAGAGACATTCACCTTGGAATGTGACTCTGGGCTTGAGCTGTCCCACCTGCAGGAATGGGCAGAGATTTCATTGTTTGCTTTGAGTTTAATCTCTTGGGGTAATTAGACAGATTACTTCAATGGTGTGTATTACAATAACGCCTAAAAAAAAATAAAATAAGGCAATGGTAACACCAGCCCTCCGTTCCCTGCACTAGGGAAATGCACATCAAGACTCCCAGCCCCAGGAAAGCTAAACACATGCAATCTGGGAGAAGGACCATGTCCAGAGAGGGGAACTGACTTGCTCGTGGCCCTTTAACAAGGGAATGGCAGAGCCAGGGAAGGTCTCCCTCTCTCCAGTGCTCCCATAACTAAACCATGTTGCCACTGAACTGACCTTCATCCACTTCTGCTTCCTCCCCTGCCAGGTTCCCCTTCTCTGAGGGCGTATCCTCTCATCTCCGTCATCACCAGGCAGCCTTCCGTGGTCCCTCACCTGGTCCCAGCTGCCACCAGCTCCCGTGTGCTGCCAGCCCAGCCCTCCCCGGGGACCACAAGCTCCGAGACCCCCGCCAGTGAGGCTCATGCCAGCAGCGAGTCGGAGGCAGAGCAGCCCGCACCGCGGTTAAAAAAGCCACGCCGGAGCAGGACCATCTTCACCGAGCTCCAGCTGATGGGCTTGGAGAAGAAGTTCCAGAAGCAGAAGTATCTCTCTACCCCCGACAGGTAAGTCAGTCTCTGACAGGAGGAAAAGGAATGAGCAAAAAAGCCCTGCTCAGCTGTCCCCATACTCTGGCTCCACAGAGATGCCTCTGCCCTTGGCCAAGGACATGACCAGATTCGATTGCAAGGCTAACTTTTCCTGGGATCAAGATGACACGAGTAGATCATATCAATGGAAATATCACATTGTGATCTAGGTGCTTTCTAGCAAGCATCCAGGCTGAGACAGGCAAGGTATGGAGCAGAAGGCTCTCTGCCTTTCCCGTTCCTGCTACATACAACAAAGGTGGAGCCTGTCTGCTCCTGGGATCTGGTGGTGGATGGCTGTGTCTCCACGACACCTGGGAGGTTGGCTGTAGCTTCAGCTGGCTGCTGAACTAGCTCTTGTTAGCAAAGTTGGGTAGCAACTCAATGAGAAGACGTTGGCCTGTCCATCAGTGTGAAAAACAGAGCCAGGGGTGTGTAGAGCTGAAGGGTACCTTGCCCTTGTGAAGGAAAAGGGAAGTTCTTAGGGTCTACTTGGTACCAAATGCACAAACCAAAATAAGGAAAGGTTTTATCTGTTTTAAAGACTTTGAATCCTGCTCTGCAAATTTAAATTACAGGAAAAAGACCTGACCAATTCCTATCAAGTTTATAAACCTAGAGAGGGTTTGAAAGGTACCCCAGAGCTTGAACTCCACAGATGGCAGTGTCCCAATATTTAAATTGGTTTGGAAGATCAGCATTTGCCCCTCATACTGCCCATCACCAAAGCCAAGGATCTCAGCTAGACCACGTTTCATGGGCACAGCTGGGCTGTCTCATCCAATTTCAAAGTCCCTAATGCTCCTGTACTGACTCCTCGCAGCTTCACACAGCCAAGTGGTTGACAAGGTTGATGAAGCACTCAAGACTCTTAATGAATTTCATGGTGTGACTGTTCCTTGGCTTTGTACATGCTTGAGGCTGATGATGAGCAATTCCTGTGCGTGTACCACTTCCCCTCTGTTTGTTTCCTCTCCTTGGAGCTGTTTCCAGCGGTGATGGCCTTGGGCCCGTATCTCCTAATAGGAGATATCAGGACTGAACTGCTTGGGTTCAGAGCACCTCCTTTCCCACTGAGTGGGATTTAAAGGGATCATCTGCAAAGGAGGAGGAATCCCAGACAGAATTGTGTTTCTGTAGCCTCAGACAGAGCACAAGACCTCTCTGAGCCACGGGCAGTTTGCCTGAAGAGTATGGATTTGACTCGAGGGGGGCTCCCTTCCAGAAGGCAGCTTGCTGCTCGAGTACATGGAGCAGAATAATTCAAAATAGAGAAGTGGTGAGTCTTCTTCTGATTCATTCTCCACTGATCAAGCCAGAGTGCTATTACATTTGCTACAAAGGACTTCTTGAGAGCCAGCCAAATAGATTCCTTAAATGCTTCTTAAAAAAAAATAAGAATCTTCTTATATATAGATATAAATTTTCTCCTTCATTGAGGATCTGACAAGGTCCTGGCACACTCCTCTGTTTGAAGAAAGGCCGCTGTGTGCGAGGAGAACAACACACAGCTCCCAGGTGGAGCTTCCTTCTGTCTTTCCAGCAATTCAACAGAAACCCAGCAGCTGAGCATTGCTGTCCTGTGACTCCAGGGAACCTGGTGGAGTGACCAGCTCCAGCAGAGCAGCACAACCAGGTCTTCCCACTCTGGGTTCCCCATATGTTCCTATCTCCTTCCCCACCAGCATGGCCCTCAAACAAAGCCAGCTTGTTATTATGGGTATGGCCAACCCTGGTGCCATCCTGCTGGCATCTGGCATCCCTGGAGACACACTGATGCTGTGGGTGAATTTTTGGGTTGTGTCTATAAGAGAGATAATCACCCCGCACCCAGCCCTGTCTAAGGGCAGCAGGGAGGGAGGCAATTTCTCATTCAGGGAGGCTCTCGGGCTCATCATTTGTTCAAGGCCAATTACTTACTGTGTGTACGGTGCCTTGAACATGTAAAAAACCATAATATAAATATCAAATGTCATTATTAAGTTAGGATTAATTATCTTTCTGGTTAGATTTTGTGAAGGCCTCCGGCATGCATTCCTCAGATGCATTCAAACTTATTAATTACTGCTATTATGTAGAAGTTACACTGAAACATTATGTTGATAAATTGCTAATGAGGACAGGCTTGAAACGGAAAACCTGGATCTCACAGCTCCAAGCGCTGAGGAAATTTCACTCGTGGCTTTGAAGTTGGGCTAAACTGTGAAGATGGAGGTGCCTCGTAGCTTGGAGAACGGCAGCTGAAGCTCGTGTCCAGCTCCACTCACCTCTGGGTTGCTGGACAGGTAGTTGCATGATGAGAGAAGCTTTGAGGAAGAGCACTTTTTAGCTGCAATACGTTATATTTTTTATTATAAAAGTTAACATTTACAGACATCAGGGGTTTGGTTTGCAACTGTCTTAGCTGAAAACCTACCTCCTGGAAAAAAATGTGGTTGAACAGAAAAGTGGCCATTCTCTAATGTGCTCAGGGAAGGTAAAATAGGACACTTGATGAGCCCTAATTTTCCCCCACCTAAGAAGCTGTTGTCAGAAATTACCAATTTATAAGGTGCCACTTTTTTTTCCCCCCACTTATCCTTGGCTTATCAGAGAAGGTGTAGACCCCTGAAGAACAGAACTTGCCTTCAGCCAGAATGCCCTAAAAAGTGTCATTTTAGCTCCACTAAAAATAGCCGCACTAATTTTCATTTATTTTCTGTTTTCCTTCTGTGGACAAGTGCATGTGAAATCCTGGCTCAGCTGAAGCTGGTGGGCATTTTGCCATGGGCATCATGGATTCTTCCACAGAGAAGAAGCCCCTTGCCACCCAGCAGGCTTTTTGCTGTGTAGCTGAGTTGTACTTAATCTTCGTGGTCCTTCTCAGGGTAATAAGGAGTGGAAATAGAATATGGAGTGAACTGTGCCTGAAACCTCTGGTGATGAACAGTTAGACTTTGCTCCAAGGAACCTCTCTGTGTGCTATTTTGGAACACCACCAGCATCTCTTCGTGCTCCAGCTCTGCATTTAGATTTCAGGGTTGATTTTCAGGGCTGTCTGCTCTGCTTTCCTGTAGCCTCCGTGACACTCACGATTCCCATGGAAATTTTGGCTCTTGTGCATTTGGGCTGAGTCCTGGGACTATTTTGGGAAGCTTTCAAAATGTCCCAGAAGTGCCCTTCACCTCTCTTCATGTGCAGAGGCTTTGGCTCTTGCTTAGCTACAACTGGTTTCCACGTGTAACCAAAGAAAAAGAGACCTAGTAGGAAAAACCAAACCAAAACCCCAGCTAAAACAAATAAAGACAAATCTCCCCTCCCAAAGCAGTGCTAACTCTCTGTGAAGTGACCAAACTCTTAAGTGCTGGGATGCTGGAGAAGAGGTATGACAATAAAGAGCATTAGCAAGCATCCCCAGTTCCAGAATTCCTATTTAATATGTAATAGCCACAGAAGTATCTGATTACAGAGTTGATATAAAGCACTTTTAAAGGTCTGAGGATCACATGCATGTTTTCCAGCTGTTTTGATACTCGGGGAGGGGTAGGTTCTGTAGGGTTGTCTTACAGTAAGGCTGGAAAGAATGAGAAGAGAATCCATGTCTGAACTGGTTGATGCAAAGGATTCCTGACAAAATATCCATCACTAGCTTTCTGGTTCAGCTTTGTTTGACAGGGATGCTGAAATGGTTTAAATCCCTACTTAGGTACCACCTCTGGGCTTGAGGCAGAGTTGACTTGTGCAGGGGACAGTTTCAGGAGGACTTTGTGGCTATGCCTGGACTTCCAGCCCATCAGGAGAGGGGTAGGTAGCTCTGAAGACCATCTGTGTCGACGTGATGCAAGGGCTGCACCATATAAATCCACCGACTCGTGTCTTGGAAACTGTCAAGCTGTCAACACGGTGTTCATATCCTAATTAGCCCACCTCTCTTTGAGCCATAATTGGCTCAGGTGCAGTCATACCCTGGCATGGCTCTGCTGCCTCCCATTCTGGAGATAGCTGGGGATCTGTGCACAGCACCACGCTGCGTAGCATAAGCATCTTCCAGGTCCTGTTTTCAACTTGGGATTCAAATGTGTGTTAATGCCAGCACTCCAGCAGGCAGGGCTTCTAGGAGAAGACTGGATCTTGGGCTGGGGTACCTGGTTATTTGCCTTCAGCCCTCTCCTAAGCACTTGGTCCTACGAGGAAATGAATTTTCCTGGTATTCCTATTACTGTTCTCCTCTTCCCTTTTGCCTTTACATCCTTATCAGGGTGCTTGGTGGAGGACAGCATTGGTCTGGGGAAGAACCTGGTGCAAGCTGCCTTCTAAGAGTTAATAATTATAAAAAAGAGCTGAAGGAAAACATTAAGAGGGCAGTATTTTTATTTAAACAGCAGCTTAAGTTTTTTATGTGTTACTGGGTAATATACTGGGTAATATAATGCAATTGCAAATAAGCGAGGTGTCTCATTATGGCAGCACCTGTAAAAACAACCTGAACACAGGGAAGAGATGAGAAGGAATCTTTCTGGGGAGATGCTTAGTTGGTGGTAAACTTGGCAGCTTGATGGTACAGGGCACAGGCAGGGGGGGAGTCTGTGTGGATGCTCCTCATCCCACCACCTCTGGCCTCAACCGACTGTGTGGTTGCTTTCATGACAGCTTCACTCAGCCAGAGAGCTGACAGCGTGGCTGTGCAGTGATGTGATGCTGGACACAGGCTGAGATGAGCCCTCCCAGGTGAGGGAAAGTCACCTTTCCAGGAAAGACAGGCAGCAGTACCCAGGGAGAAGCTGGTCCCATGATTGCCCATGCCAAGGGTGCTGGGGAGGCAGAAGAGGGACTGCTCAGGGCCTGACCCGGGTGTAGATGGAGCAGAAAAGGCTTAAATTCAATGTCAGCAAAACCAGATGGGGTAAGGTCTAACCTGAGAACAACAGTTGCTTTATTACCCTCAGCGGGGCTTCTGATGGACAAGAGAGATGCTGCAGGTCCACATGGTTTGTGGT